CTAGACGAGCCCTATGCTTTGTAGCACAACTCCTAATTTCATCTACAACCAAAGGAATTCCTAAGTCACTGTGGATTTTCACTGTTACGTATATAGCATGGCGCATTTACCATACCCCATAGAACTTAATTCTGGAAGGTTTGAATTTTGTTAATGTGAGTCTTCTTGGCACAACCCCAGAGCTGAATACCATATCGCCATATTGGTTTAATGATTTGGTTAAAAATTAATATCTTATTATCAATTGCCAAATTGGACTTACAAGGAGCCAATAATTTTCTCTATATTTATTTTCTAATTCTCTTTCCATTTAAGTTAATTTGTGGTGGATTCACTATTTTCCGATTGTTGAAGTTTATGTTAACCGAATTTAAGCTAAATATTGAGAAATATACAATATATTGTTATGGGCAAATCATAGTTTCATGAAACAGAATCTAAGAATCACTCAAGATGTCCTTTTGAAAGAGCAAACGAGTGAAAAAATGAACATTTTTCCAATTTACAATTTTTTTTACTATCTTTTACATAATATGCAAAGCTACAATGAATAAATTTAACAAAATGTATACGGAAAAATATAATATCCACTTAATTTTATTTAAATTTTAAAAAAAAATTAAATTAATATTAATGAAATTTTTCACAGCTTAAAATTTTCATATGCAGTACCAACGGTATATAATTACAATCGTAATAATAACAATAATTAATTGAAAAAGAATTACGCCGTGTTCTATGAATCGTGAAAATGGAAAAAAATTTTATGGAAATAAATTTATTCCAAAAAATTTCGTAAATTTAAATGACGTAAAAAAAAAGAATTTGCATTTTGACGAAGTTTTGGGATTTTAAAATAAATTTTTCTTTATACAATATGCTATACTGATTTTCATTTGAAGGACCATACTAACTGCCAAACCTTCATTTTTACAATTGAACATTTTAATGATGTAATTTACATTCTGCCTACGTGTATGTGTTCGAAAACCTTTTATTACCCCTTTTATATTCATAAATATGATAATACGATATTGGTTTTTATATTCAATTTTTATTTTAATGGTAAGTGTATATACGAAAACTCTATATGAAAAAATTGAAGGTGGTCAGCACATAACCGACCGCAAAATGTATTTTCTGATCCAGTTAAAGTGTAGGAGAAGATTATTATGAAAATATGCTTTAAATACTTATTTTACATTTGAAGTGAATTTTTTAACTTTCAGTTAATACAAGTACGTCTAGTAAAAATGTTAATGAGAAGTATTTGAAAGTATGTATTACAAATCTAGTTGTTGTATCAATGGTTTGTCGTATAGTCCGAAGGAACTCATATATAAAATTTCAAGAATTTCTTTTAAATATTTTCTTAAAAATAATTAAAAATGTAAAATTGGTCCTTAGTAAGTAAGTCAGACTAGATGTAATATCTTAAAAATTGATCAAAATTAATAAAGCGAACTCAGATATAAAGTTTAATAAAAATCGCTTAATCGTAAATTGTGATAAACTAGTGCGCTCATTGGACCGACTGATAGGCTGACATTTTGCTTAAAAATAGTTTATCTAAGTCTTTCTATCATGAAAAAACGCATTCTAGTTGAAAACTGACACGCAAAATTTGGTCTGATCACAGTACCACCCTTATTGTAGGTAAAGCGGTTGGTAAAAATAAAATAGATATGTTTGTATGCAAACAAGTGTGCAATAATAAAACCGCGTCATATTATTGTATTATTGTGTATTCATATACGTTTTCATATAAAATTCAATAAGAAAAATATTTAAAAAAAAAAATTATTTTTATTTTTCGCACTGTTTTAAGTGGGGGTGTATATGTATATAAAACCGAATATTTTGTTTAACAATATTTTGGTGCACCTCATCCACAGATGGAACTCCGTTTAAAAAAATACAAAGATGAAGCAAACAAAAACAACAAAATGAAAAGCGAAACTTTAAAATTTAAAATACATAGAGTCGCATTTTTATTATCATGAGACATGAATTCATTATTCAAAATCATAAAAAATTATTTTAGAGATTTTTCAATTTCTCTTGTCGCTATTCTCTCAGTTAATTAATTTTTAGATAGAACTTAAAAATATTTTACCATTTTATCATAAATTTATAACAAGATCAACCTCCTCCCCGTTTCAAATTTTCAAAGCAAAAAAAATTTCTAAACCCAATAAAATCAGAAACGTAAAAGTCTATTTCTTCTAACGTACATGTACCAAATTAACTCCCGTTTTATCGCTAATTTACTCAGGCCGTTCTATCGCTAATTTTTGTAGTAATTACCAACAACATTGTATAAAACAAGGGAAGGTGATGGCACCAAATTTCAAATGTGAAGTTTTCGGCGAAATGTGTTTCTCAATTGTAGGAAAGCGTAAATACACTATTTTTAGAGAGGTGGCGGTCTGTCTGTCAGTGTGTCTTTGCAGATGAAAATCTCAAGTTCGGCTCCAATCGATTTTGATGAAATTTTATATATAAATTTGTTTTGAGGGTGATACCGTTTGATCAACTTTTTGGGATATATCAGAACTCGGGAACTGGTTGCTTTTGCGGGCCTATTTTACATTTTTGCGCATATAAACAGGAATAATTAACGAATTTCCTTGAAATTTAATATATGAATTTAAGATGTGAAAACAATTAACTTATAATTTTTTTTAGGAATATCAGGGCTCGGAAACTCAAATTTTATTAGTGCCTGATTTTACATAATCTTATTTTGCTATACTGCTAATAAGGTCGTTTATGTGCTGATTACATCAGACTTTTTCTTTTGTAATGCCAGGTCTCATGATTTTCAAATTTTAACAATTTTTTGATATTGACTGCTGTTAAGTAAATTTTTTTAAATACCGGCTCTGTGATAAAAAATAAACCCATAATCGTCCCTCCATTAAACCACAATAACAAAATAAAATGAAAGCATTTTGTAGTAAAAGGTGTAATATACGGTGATTAAACTTAAGTGTGAGTATGGGCACAAAAACACGCAGAATATCGTATAGAATATCTGATATCCAGGGTATACCTGATACTCATTTTATGATATCCAGAATATTAAATATTTTTTTTTTATTGTTCGCTTTTAACGAAATGTGCACAATCATATGAGCAATAAAAACAAACTCTTTTTTTTTTAATCTCTGCTTTCTTAAAAATGACATAGCGTAATGGTAGTGAAAACCGCGATCCAACAAAAAAGAAAATATAAATAAATAAAAAAACAAGAAAAGAGAAAAGGAAAATGAAATTTTTGTTTGCCAGCTCTGTGGTTTCGTGACAGTTGACGAAGCAAACATTATAATTGTATGATTTATGAGCGTCATATTAATGTTATTTGCATTAAATTTATGACTTTTCCATTAATTATTTGTGTTCGTTTTTTAACAATTTTTTACAATCATTTTAATTTTTTTTTTTTTTTTTTGTTAATTTTTGTGAACTTGTAATTTGATTTTTTTCTTTTTTGTTACTATTACTTTTATATTAATCTGGCCATATATTAAATGGGAAAAAAATAGCAATCTTCTCACATTTAATGCAAATTTCTGGTCTTCTTTTCCTCAATTACGTGAATTTCGTTTTAAATTTTATTTCTCATATTTTGTATTTTCAATATAAATTACTGAAATTGGACTCATTCAATATGTTTTTGTTGCCTTTTTTTATATTTTATAACAAAGTTGAATTAATATTAATGATCGAATTAAAATTAAAATTAATCTTTGATTGTATAACAGGTACTGATAGTTTTCCCATTTCTTTTGAAAAATTACCATATTTATATAGAATTAAGAACAAGATGTTTGATTTCAATTTTTTAAACATAATATGCTGAATTTTCCGATTTTGTTTGTAACAATATTAATCTGATAAAATAATAAAGATTTAAATTTTCTGAATAAATTATTAATATATTATTCTTACCAATAATGAATTTATTTTTTACCGTCGAAATTATTTTAAATAAAATTTTATAGCCAAAATATTTTAACGTATGTGAAAAGAGCTTCAAATAACTATCTGAATCAAAATATCAAAATATGCAAAATTTATATAACTTATAAAATAATTATAGAATCTCACATACAAATACCAATATACACACATATTACGAAAATAGAGCGTCAGGATTTCTATCAAAAATTTATGATGTGAGATATTCGTTTTAAATGTTCCTTAACATTTTTACGATATTAGAATTACGATATTAGAATTACGATATTATAATTACGATATTAGAATTTTACGATATCCTCTTAATATACGAATGCGACTATTAAAGACTAATAATTTTTCTGATAAATAATTTATTGTAATAATAAATGATGGATACAGCAATTCAAAATATCTGCTCAAAACAAACATTGTTTAATTAAAACCGTAGTTTATGCACGCAATATATAAGAACTACATGGGTTAGTTTTATTATAAAGTTCACAAATACGAACATGATCCCAAAATAACCCAAATTAGATTTGAGTAAAGTGTGTATTTTAAAAAACTAAAGAGTGTATTTTGCATTACCATTGCATTATTTTCAGCATTCGCCGCAATTTTATTTAATAGATGCTAAATTTACAGATATTATGTACAGGCTACAATAAGTTACCCGATATTTTTATTGTTGTACTTTAAATTTTTAACGAATTTTTTTTTCGCTAATTTTTTCATATTCATTTTAAATAGAAAAAAAAAATTTATTATAGAATGTTGGAAAATAATTTCCAATTAAAAATAATGAAATTATGAAAACCTTTAAAGTTTTTTAATTTTTCTCTCAAAAAAATTTTTAAACAAAAAAAAAAGTGCACAGTCAAAAAATTAAAATTTCTAACTTTTCTCATATAAAAATTCTTTGTTTTTTTGTTTCGAAATAAATTGTTTTTAAAATTCTTTTTTTTAGGAAATAAAACAAAAAAAAAAAATTGCGATACTTTAGCTAAAATACAATATTTATTTTTTCTTTTTAGGGTCCACCTGGACTGGATGGTATGAAGGTAAACATATTTTTTTTTTATTTTTCTATTTCTTTAAATTTGTTTTTTATTATTTTTTTACTTTTCTAAGTTTACCTGAGAAAGGAGATACCTACTTAATAATTTTTTTAAAAATTTTCTTTTCCCATTTCAATAAGAAATAAACCACTAGAGAGAATAATTTTTGGAAAATATTTTTTTATTTAAAATATTTTAATTTAAAATTTTGTAGGTGTGAGACTCCAACGGAAGAGTCAATAGAGAATTTTTTTAAAAATAATATTGACAAATTGCATAACAACATCATTCAATCAGCGTTTATACGCAAAAATATTGCTAATGAATTTTAATTGATTTGAAAAAAAGTTTTTAACGGAAGTTTCATAAAGTTTGATGAAGTTTGATACGTAAAACTAAATTATGTTTGATATGAAATTTTTGCTTGAAATTTTAATGTCAGATTTAAATCAAGGCTGAAATTTATGCAACTTAAATGGAATTCCACTAAAATTGTATTTAGTTAGTGGAGTTTTATGGTCACTACTTTTATGTCAAACGACCATTGAAATTAAATTTAATTAGTGGGGTTTTACGCCCGCAAATTTTATGTCAAACTTCATTCGTTATTTTAATTCATTTATAATTCATCATTCTATTTGTTTTTTGGATTTTTGTTAAATAAATTTGTCGTTAGAAATGTGACAATAATAAAATTTTGCAGCACTATTTCACTTTTACGTGAATCATATGTTTTCACATATTACTAGACAACGGTAGTTACTGATAAGCGACATAATCGTTATCAGAGACTCATTTGGATCATACAAAAATTATCGTTATCCTACTGTGTATTCACCTGATTCTTATAAATTTTCTTAAAAGGATCTAAAAAAAAAAATAAAATATTTTTGTTAATATTGTTTTTTTTTTGTATCTTCTTTAGCATAATTTGTAAAAGTATAAACTTTTCGGTTCTTTTTGTTTTCATTCATAAAAAAAATTTTTTCATTCTCGTATTGTTTGCAGAAAATACGAAAGGAAACATTTTTTTTTTATTTTTTGTCTAAAATTTTCGTTGAATAAATTAACGTTTTTGTCTTTATTATATTTTCTTCTTTTTCTCCTAGTTCGGTTTCTTTTTTGTATTTTGATATTATTAATTATTTTAGCTAAGCTTAGAATATAAATTTTATTCTTCCTCTTTATATAAATATAATTTTGGTCCTTTTAATTTTCTAAAGGTGCCTTTCGATATTTTTATCTTATTTTTTCTTCTATATTTTTTTCTGCGGATTTTACCATGATATTTCTGAAATATCCTAAAATTTTCACTTAGTAAAAAAAAAACAAAAAACAAGACAAGTAATATGGTTGGAAAAATAACAAAAAACCAGAAGTTTCTACCTATTTATAAAAGTTTATCTTTGTTTTGTTACTGAATGGCTCTTAAAATATAAAGAATAAACAACAAAGAAAAAATATTTCTAATTAAAATTCATAAAACGTTCAATTATAATTTAAATAAAAATGCAAAAACAAAAAAATAGACAAAAAAAGTAAGGGAATAAAGCTTTATTTGTATTCCTTTTTATATGCTAGTTATTTAGCTAGTTAGTTAGTTAGAAAGTTAGATGCTAGTTATAATCCTCAACATTTTCTATTTTGTATTTTTTAGCAATAAAATTCTAGATAAACCAACCTTCTATATTCTTCCTCTGCGTGCTACATTTTCAATTCATTTTATTATTTTTACTCTTATTATTTTTTATTTAATAATTTTTTTTTAATTCTAAATATTTTATCTCATTATTATATAATATCTCCCTTTATTTATATTATTCATTCTATTGTATAATATGAATATATATATAGGGTGCACAAGGTGACATTGGACATAAAGGGGAACGAGGAGAACCTGGTCTACCTGTAAGTATACTATAAAACAAAATAAAAATTAGAATTTTAATTTTATTAAAATTTTGTTGCATTTTATTTAAATTTTTTCCAACTATTTTAATAGATTTGGTTGAATAAACTTTTACCAAATTGCCATTATTATATCTCATTCATATTCAAGATTTTTCATTTAAATAAAAAAAAATAGTTAGTGAATACAAAAGTATAAAATATTAATTAGCTACCTCAGCTATAAAAAAAAAGCAACAAAATGAAAGACACATGAAATGAATATTAAGTATAAAAAAATTTTATTTTAATTTTTATTAATGATTGTCAAAAGTTTGAATGGAAATTGTAATGACAGCAATTAAATTATATTTTTAGTAGTTCTTATTTTTTTGTATACAAAAGATGGTACTCGAAATGAATATGAAAATATTTCGAAATTCCTTTATTCGAATTTCAATAATTTAAAAATATTTAAGCATAATATTTTGTTTAAAGTGGATCTTTGTTTTCGGGGGGCAAAATAAAATTATTTGGTAAAAAAATCACCATAGAATTGAGATTATAATCAATCCACTAGAAAATACTAAAATTTGATTGTTTTTAATCCCAAGCTTTAAAAAACTAGTGGATTCAACCAGTCCACTCTGGTCAGGTGGATTTTTTTTTGCACAAAATTAGAAGCCAAAGGGAAAACTTATCTAAAGCTGAAAACAATTTTAACTTTAATTTAATACGAAAAATTTCAACTTCTATTCGAAATTTTATCTTAAACTTATAAAAACCTTCTATTTAACCTCTTGTTATAATATGGGGCTATTTGTTATTTATAATCAAAAATTCCATTTCAGTTTAATGATCTTTGATATCAAAAATAAAAATAGAATTTTTTAATTTTTATCATATATTTATTTATAGGGTACTGATGGTATTCCAGGATTAGAAGGGCCAAGAGGTGAAAAAGGTTCAAGAGGAGATTTAGGACCTCCTGGAAAACGTGGTCGTAAAGGTGATCGTGGTGAAAAAGGTGAACAAGGTGTACCTGGATTAGATGCTCCATGTCCATTAGGTTCTGATGGTTTACCATTACCAGGATGTGGTTGGCGGCCACCAAAGGTTTGTTTTAAATTAATTTATTTTTTTTTAAATTACTTATGTTGGTTTTTATTTTTCTGTTTAATTTTAACGGGGTTTTATAATTCATTTTTTGTTTCAAAGTTCTTTCATGTAAATTATCGTGCACTATAAATTTATAACTTGTACTATATTTTCATGTTGATTTATCATTTTTATGTTCTTAAACTTTAATGTTCTAAATAATATTTATAATTAATTGTATTTTCATATTCTTTTTTCTTCTTTTTCTATCATTATTTCATTAACACTTTATTTATACACTTTATATATTTTTTGAATATAATTATATATTTTTAATTTGGTTTCATTCTACTCTCAATCACTTTTTTTTTTACAAATAATTTATATTAAAATTATATTTTAAAAACACCAAATTCTAAATATACTAATAAAATTTTTTGGTTTTTAAAACTTAACAAAAAAACAAATATATGTAAACAAAATGGCAAATAAATGAAAAAATTCCGATTACACAAACATTCATTTTCTTCAACTACCTACTGTAAAAATAATAACATTTTCCTCCTCAACATTTTGAACAACCAAAAACACCAATGAAATTTGCGAAAAAAAAAAAACAAAATTCAAATATAGGAACCTGTTATACAAACACCAATCTATAAGGATTATTTACCGGATGTTACAGGGCCAGACAATAATAACGATAGTGATTATGAACCAGATGATGAAGAAGAAGAAGAAGGTAATGAAGAAAATGAGGAGGAATACGATTATCAAGATAATTTACATCATATTGATTAGCTGATAAAAAATTATAACAATATTAATAATAATAATAATGTAATAACAAAATAACATTCCCGTAATCTATATACATACACCATAAATGAAAAAAACAAAATACTGTACAAGAAATATAACTGATTACAGTTATTCAAATTACTATTTAAACAATATATAGATTAGCTTTACCTGTTATATACATATAATATTATATAATATAAAATAAAAAAAAAATTATTTTTAACGTAGAAAATAAAGTAGATGATAATAATAAAATTACTAATAATAATAATAATTACAATAAAAATAAGAAAAAGCACAAAATAAAAAAAAATAGCAAAATATATAGGTATTGATGTTTAAGAAGTAAATAGAAATTAATTATGCTTTTGCAAAAATTAACACAATAAAAATAATAAAATCACACACACACACATAGCAAAAACAAAACATATTATAACATTAGACACATTGTAGCAATAAAATGTTGTACACTTGTTCCTATTAAAACGAAAATAATTAAGAAAAGAAAGTATGCAGGTTGCTGCGTCAAAGAACTGCATTTTATTTTAAAATCACAAGTTTTTAGTATTTCTCTTTACTTCAACTGAAACACTTTAATCACATCACATAGTTATGACATTTATATTCATTTGATATTTATAATATCAAATGAATATTAATTAATAACTGCATATTGGAATGTTTAAACACTCACATCATAGTTTCGTGGAATATTGCTAAAAATATTTTTTTATAATTGCATAGCAATTATAATTTTTTTATTTTCTTCCCTTACTTCACTTGTAACCATAAGAACCCACTTATGGCATTATAGACTGAAGCATGAGATCATTGTTTTAACTAAGGGGTGACCAATTTTTTGTTTGGATTAAATATTGAAGGTTATTTATCGATATTTTATTGTCAATTTTTTGTTGGTATTCAATATCGAATATTAATGATATATGGGCAATTACTTTTATATTAACATTTTTTTTTATAATAATATTGTATTATTATGCTATGTAACATTAAATATAAAATTTATGGTGAACTGACTAGGATTTGAACCTGAGGCCCTTCGATTAAAGGACCGGTGCCTTAAACACTACCCCGTTAGTCAGGGAATACACTTGCATTTCTTCCACTTATTATATGTACAAATCTTTCAATAATCACTTAAACCATCTATCTAAACTAAATTTAGCATATATAAATAAAATTATATCTGTCAAGTCAAGATGACATTTAATAATTGTTAATTATTATTATAAGGACCGGTACCTTAAGCACAGAACCATTGGTCAGATTATTCCCTCTCATCTTCTCCACTTATTATACCTAAAATTGTTTCAATAACTAAAGTCTAACACTTAAACGAAAATCTATAAAGTAAATTTAACATAATTAAAATTATATGCTGCTTTGTCATGTCAAGTTGACATTTTATAATCGTTAATGTTATTAAATGATTCAGATGAAAAAATTTTTAAATGATTTTCTTTAAACTATGTAAATTTTGTAATAAATTTGCATTATTATTCGATATTTTACGCAAATCTTATTTAATTAGATACATACAAAATTTTTAATAGTCACTTATGAAAAGAGTTCATAAAAATAATTTTGCTTTAATTGGCAACTACATTTACGCATTTATAGCACAATATTATAAGTAAAATAATGAACAAGTGTATAACATAATAATTATATAACATATAATGAGATTACATACAAATTAGATATTTAAGAAAAATAATAAACTGAAATAAAAATTAATATAAAACAAGACAAAAACAAAACAAAACAAAAAATTAGTAATAATAATTAGAATTTTATTATAATTTTATATTTTACTCTTATTTTATACACATAAACACACATTATTCTTTACTATATAATAATTATTATCCTTTTATTATAATATGTATAAACATACATTTATACTTACATAAATAATTATTATATTACACGAAACATTGCTTTCTAATATTTTTTATTTTTGTATTATTTGTGCCTGACAAAAAATAATTACATCATTACAAAATTAGCTTATTTATGTATGTTTTATTTGTTTTTTAATGTAATTATTAGATTTAATAATAATTAATAATTTTTTAATTACGGTGGTTTCTATAACAATTATATTATATATATTTGAATTTATAATAACAATAATAAACACCAAAGATTCATTATTATGTAATAATTGATTTCCTGCTTTTTATACATTGTATTTTGATATTAATTATATTTTTTATACGTTTCACTTACAATAATTTCCTTGTATTATTTTTATATATGTAAATGTAAATAAATACATAAATAAATGAGATTCTAAATGGTGGAATAATAACGATATACAATTAATTTAACTAATAATAATAATAATAATATATAGATGAGATTATTAATATAATAATAATGATTGATATTATGTAAATGACTCAAAAATGTCATGAAATCAAAATAATATTTATTTTATTAATCGATTGTATAAAATTCAATTAATTCTCAAATTTCAGACCATTTTGTTTATCATATAATAAATTAATTATCATTTTATTTTCCTTCTCAATTACAATAATTGAATAATTTTATTATAATGCAACACATATACAATCATATTTATAATTTATTTATGAGAGTTAGTTTTCCTTATAGCAGTGGAAAATAGTTGATTTTTGTTAATTATTAAATTATTTGCTTCGGGTCTTTGGATCTACTAATTGAAATATTGAAATGCCAACTTTTGTGTTTTTCCAGATTTCCATTTATTCAGATGTATGAAAACAATTGTAAGTGTTATTTAATTTAATGAAAATTAGTTCTGCGTTTTCCTTCATTATCTGCTTGAAATTGGTCTATAGCGCATATAGTCCTAAAAAATTTAAAAATAATAATTACAAGTGAAGATTGAAGCTCTTTTTTTTTTTTTTTTGGAAAAATTCTTCTCAAAGGAGCAACACTGCTCGTGTAAAGTAATTAAATTTTATAATTCATATATACAATTCAAAATTTATATAGGTACAAGGCAAAATACATTTCGAACAGCAATCAGTACAAAAACTAAAAATAAGAAGAAAAAAAAAAGAAATATTAAGTTTTATGTTTTTTAACTACAATGTCATATATGGAATCAGATCTTAATTCTATTGGCATTCGATTTATTTAAATACAGATTGAATCATCTTCTACTATAACACTGTATTTGCTTACCGAACGAAAGTGTTGTGTTTGTATTAATGGCTTGATTCAGCATTCGGTATCTCTGTTGAATAGTTATATGCAAATTTCAAAGTATTAGTTCCAAATCAGATTTTAATGGTAAGATACAGAGACTTTTATATTTCCCTCCAAGTTTTCATTTTTGTTGTGATACCAGTATAAAAATAGAGAAAATTTAAATTTTTTTTTTGTTTTTGAGTTTTACACTCATTAATTACTATGAGAAAATAAGACAATATCAAAGTTTCTCTTATATCCATAAAATTTACAGGTATCTAAATAATTTTGTTATTTATTTTAACTTTAATTTATGATTTAAAAATTTTCATTTTGCCAAACAATTCTTTAAAAGAATTATTTAAAAAATCATAATTTTTATTTTATTAAAAAAATAATTCTAAAACTATATTTTATTGTTGTAAATCATTTAATAAAAATAAAAAATTGTCGATATTATAAAAAATTATTATTATAAAATTTATTAGATAAATAATTTAAAGCCCTTGATTTCATTGCATTTTCTTTATATTCCTCCCGTTTTTTTTTTTTGTATAATTGAAATAATTCTCATAAATATGTCACATAATTAATTAGAATTATGCAGAAAAAAAATAAAGAATTATTTTATTGGATCAACAATTTTTTGTTTTGGATCAACAAAATTATTAACATAATTTTCAAATGAAATTCGCAAATGATATTAGTTAACAAAAAAAACAAAATTTTGTATTATATTAATAATCCTAAAAATTTTGTATCAATAATAACAATAATTGGGATTTATAAACAATTTTATTATTATTATTATTATTATATACAATCAAAATGATAATAATAATGACAAAATTCAATTGAAAATAATTTTAATTTGAACGTAGTATAGTTGTAATAATAATCATACAATTGTACTTGTAAATTATGCTATATTGTTTAAATTGAAAATATCTTTATATAAAAGATTTATTGAATTTAAAAATAGTGAAAGTCTCGAGCAAAATTATTAGAGTAATTTTCAAAATTATGTAATAATTATAATGTGTTATTGCGTTCCATTAAAATTACGATAGGCACCGGAATATTTTTTAATCTTAAAAAGAGATTTAAATATGCCACATCCATTTGTTTTAACATTATTAAAATATCTTTTTCGTATTCTCAATAATTATTTAAGTTTTGAGCATTTTAATAAGTAATTTTGTATATGTCCGTTGATCACAGAATTAAGTAATGATGGCTGTAATATTTGAAAGCTACCAATCTTATATCTGCCTTATTTAATTACCTGGGGTCTTACTATGTACATAATTCGATTGAAAATAATCGAATCAATTTGCATGGTTCTACTTTTCCATTTCTGCAAATACGAAAAACGTTTCATGAAAATCGAATTACATAGCGAAGCCTACGCTCCTTCTTATCCTCTCTATATCGATTTTGCAATAATTTTAATATTTCAAATTTATAATTTTTAAGTTTTTAATTAATATAATTTTTTAACATCAAGAAATCTTCAATTTTACCCTTTTATATACTGAAATATGTATATAATTAATTTTACGCAACAAATAAAATCTCTTAATTACAATGTGGCTTAAAATTTTCACTCACTCAGCATAAAATCAATTTCTCACTCATTCTCGTCAGAGAGTTTTTCGATACTCGATACTCGATTTATATTGTGAGAAAATGAGTTGTCATTATTTTGCTTTGGACTTTCAATTATAATTTATATAATATCGTACTAAAAAAGAAAAATAAAAAATAACATTTATAATTAAATTAAATTCTATATATTATAATATTATTGTAGTTTTAAAAAATAGAATTAAACAAGTAAATTTATTGTTATAATTAATTATTAACCAATTCACCTGTAGTTATAATTTGCTGACAATTTTCATAATAACTATTATTAGTAATAATTTTTGTTTCAATATTTAAATAAGCTTATTTTTTTTTTTTTATACATAATATAAAATTATTTTATTGAATTAATTTTTTTTTCCTTTCTTTGTGTGTCATAAATAAAGAAGAATATTTTTAAATATTTAATAAATTTTATTTACATAATATATTTTTTTATTTATTTAATAAATTATTATTTCAATTATATTTGTTTTTTTTTTCAGGAGAATTTCAAAATATGGTTGGAAGAAATACAGAAACATTATAAAAATATTAATTCCAATAGTGTTAAAGATGATTCCTGATTATTGAAATTTAACTGATGTTCCATTTTTCATACATATAAAATATTTTTTAATAATTTTATTTAATTCAATTATATAATGTATATATATCAAAAATATTCTCGTTACACTATTCATTATCAAGGAAAATCTTATTACTTAATCTGTAATATTAAATTTTCCAAATTTGTCATATTATTTTGCTTTCAATTTGTTATACCCAATTTAATATTTTAATAAAATTCATATCTTAACACTGAACGAAGACGAAGATATAATATTGAAAGAAAACTAAAATTAAGAAAAATATTCAAAAATGAATGAATTTTAAGTATGAAATTCTCTATCAATGTTAAATAAATAATGTAATATAGTTAAAAATATGAATAATATTGTAAGAAGTGAAAAATGCTCAAACAAATCCTTTCTAAGTATCCTTAATTTGATGTTACATACGAAAATTTTCTAGAATTTTGGCAACACTAAAAATATTATTTTTTATCACTTCTTCACTTTCTAAATTTGTAATTCCTCAAGCAATTTGCTCTAATAAATCATTATTCAATTAAAATGGAATTATTTTAAAATTATGATTACATTTTAACTATATACTCGTATACCTAATAAAAGTAACCTTTTTAACCTGTTTAATTTGTACACCCATGTAAAAAGTGAATAAAAATTCAAAATTAATGAAAATTTCACATATAATGTATAGGTGTATGATACTTATATTTTATTATATATAGTCAAATTAATTTAGGAAACAAATTAAAATGAAAATATTTATTTAATTTAAACAGAAAACTTTAAAAATATCTTTGTTAGTCATAAAAAATTAAAAATTTCTAAATAACGATAAATAAATAAAACAAAAAAAAATTTGAATTAATAAAAAAAAATTTTCAAAAAAAAAATTTAGAATTTTATTTAGGAAACTTCTGATTTCAGATGCAGATTGCAATGGAACAAGTATTTCGCAAAATAAGATACGCAGTGCGTTCAACAATTTAGATCAGAAACTTAAACTCACAAGTATTTTTATAGGATTGAATCTATAGCCAATAAAACGATGTATTACTGAAAGAATTATCGATTATTACCAAATAATAATGGTAGATCCGGTAATAATGGTAAATGACTTAACATAATATTAGCTTTTAGCTTGCCGAAGCTCATAACATTTGATTTCTCATAAGATATAATTCATTTAATAACCAATAATTTTTATATCGTACTCTGGTAGACATACAATTTTTTTTCACAAAAACAATTTATTTTGTAATAACTTACTTGTTTATTTATTATATTTACATAATTACGGGTCAATACATTACATAACATTACGAATTTGACAATATTATCAAAAAAAAACAATAGATTCGACACTGTTATCAACAAAAAGGTATGTACATTATGCATAATATTATAAAAGGTTCTTTTGTAAGATATTTGTATGATATGTTCACATTGTGGCAAAACTTTGTAGTTCAATGCCATCTACAAGAAAAGTTTTAAATAAAAATTTATGTATATGGAGAAAATATTATATGAACAAACTTACCAAGGCATCTTTTTCCATTTGTATAAAATTTGTTAAAATATTTCTTAGTAAATTTATGTCGAAAAATAATTGATAATGAAATGTGGCACACCTTCACGTTCGATTCTTCTCTATATCGAATTGCACCATTATAATTAAACAACTAATGACAAAATTTAAAAATTTTAACATAAAATTATTGCCTAAGGTTAACATTCCCAAAATATTGAATTTTCTTTTATGTAATAACTTCAAAAACAGGAATTCGTCAATCTGTAGAAATAAAAAATAATTTATTAAAATGGTACAGTGTTGTTCAATCAAACAAATTAAATGTTAATTGTTCTTAATGAATATTTTATTTAATATTACAATAGAACTCGCATATAATGACGTCGATTGCAACTAAACGTGAAACATTGAAACATTTGTTGTCACCACATATAGGGAAAAAAAAATTTGTTAGGGAAAAAAATCGGATATAACGATACTACATATAGATATCGTCCGAATTTCGTTTGTGCCTTGACCGTCCAGAACCGTTAACAAGTCGAATGCTTCATTGCTATACGTTTGTATATTATTCCTCGGTTAATCACCTAGAGCAATGAATACTTTACCAAGATCAAAAATTTTATCTAAAAATAGATGGTTCTTTTTTATTTCACCGGCCTAATATTTTTTATGAATTGAAGAGCTTGGCGTCTTAAAATAACAAAAAAAAGAGCAAGAAAATAAATTATTAGCATGTGTACGTTCATACTTTATTAACTAAAAAAAATTTTTTATTTTCATTTGCCAAATATGTAAAAAAATAAGGTTTAAACAAAGATGGTATGAGTACACCTTTGGATAAATTTCTTGTTTGAATTGTTTAAAAGTAAATGACATCTCAGTCAACATAATGGCAACCAAATTTCGTCAATAGCTTAACGTTGGACAATTATATTTCCTTTAGTTTGCGGGATGGTTGAATAATATTAGCAAAATCCAATTAGTTAGCGGGCAATTAACAAATTCGTCAAATTCAATTGGACCAAAAAAAAATATATATTGTTGTTGTTTTTTTTTATTGGTATGAAAAGAAAACTTCCTTTTATTCGAGTAGGATTTAAACGGATTTTCGATTCTATGGTTGCAAAACACATTTATGAAACGGATCACACAATCACGGAAGATAACTTAAAGGTATTAAAAGAGGTAAAAGGAAAACAGGAGAGCAGTTCATGAAAGCATGCAGATATACAAATCAAACAAGGACTGCGTACTGAACACGGACGAAGGTAACGCGGCTACTTGGCTCTTTAAATTAATTATTTGACCAGTTTTAAGGTTTAAAACAGGTATAAATTTAGTTTGTAAATAATAACAAAAAAAAAATAAATAAATAATCAAATTTTAGAATAAGTCAGGTAGATTATATTAAGTCAGGTGTAATATTCCTAATTTTAATAGATTTCAATTTTTATTGTTTGTTGTCTTAATTAGAAGAAAATCAGCTTTGATAAAGTGCGTATGTAGCGCACGAAATATATTAGCGAAAAATAAAAAAAAAAAGTATTTTATTCCGAATAAAAGGAAGTTTTCTTTTCATATCAATAAAAAAAAAAAGAATTATATTTCGGCAAAATTATCAACCATTGAAAAAAAAATTTTTTTGAATATATTGTTGTCTTTAACACTTAACAGTAATCGCATAATAACATCAAACAAAATATTTGCCTTATAAATTTTCAGCAAAAATCATACTTACATTCATCCAAATTCGTTTAAATTGCCCTGGCATCGGATATAACATATTACTACTGAATAAATCAATATATTCAATATTTTCAACTTTTATATAATAAATTTGTATTTTATTCATTAAAATTAACCCTTGCATAATAATATGCAAATGTTTTGTAAATTCTTCCGAAAATTTATGATATAATGGTTTCTCTTTAACATGATAACGATAAAAACTTAATAAAAAATTAATAAAATAAAAATTTAACCATATAAATAAAAACCATTGTGATATTATTCTTAGATTCTCTAAAATATTTGAATAAATTAAAAAATTTTTTAATATTTTTCTTATTTTAATTAATAATCTTCTATGAAAACGTTTATTAAAGTATAAAACTTTTGAATTTTGGCATAATTTCAAATCAATTTTAATTATTTCTAATTGTGATTTTAAATTATCAAAATAAATTCCAATAAATAATATAATTGATGAAAATACTAATATTGAATTTTCCAAAACTGAATATAAATATCTTGATTGTATTGTAGTTAACACATCCCAAAAATAATGTGACATAAAAATTGATAATATACCATTATAAATTGATTCAATAACATAATAAAGTCTTATACTAATTAATATTAAAATTTCTAAATCTATTAATGAATTAAAATATTTCATATCACTTAATAATTTCGAACATAAATTTAAACTTATTATGATTTTCTTTGCATAAATTATATGTATAGTAAATAGTAGCCAACATCCGATTGGCATTAATGAATATATCATAATAGTTATAACTTTAAAATACAAATCGTGTATTTCTCGAAACAAATAATATTTTATATTCCATAAAGTAAATGGTCCACTAATAATTAATATTATAAAAATTATAATCCAAAATTTTCTTAAATTTCTTGATAATTTAAATAATTTTTTCTCTTCATCAAATAGAAACAATACTAAACCGAATACTATTGAAAATAAATAAACTGTTCGAATAATTTTAAAATATAAAAATGATTTAATATTGAATCCCATTTCATTTTTCACATATAAATGTAATTTAGCGGGAAAAATTAAACTATTTTAAATGGTATGAATGAATTTTCATTTATTCCGATTCCTTTAAATTAAATTATTAAATTTATTTTGGATATTTTGGATATATCATATGCATGTATAACGCAATTACAATATAATAGATTCAACAATATTGTCTATTTTTATACCTTTAAATAATTATTTTTACTATACAAAAAAAAATTACTGTACGTAAATTTAAATTACACATAATTTTTTTTGTTGTTACAAATTTATTCTAAAATTAATTCAGGGAATTGGAAACAAATTTTATTTGATTAATATTTACACAAACTAACAATATTTATGAATTGATTGATTGCTTATTGTAATTTAAATTGATTATTTTTAAATATAATACAGTACAATACAGTAAAGTAGAAAAACATTTGTACACTCCATGTAAAAATATTTTAAAATTTGAAAATGAAATCATGATTAATTTTTATTCAATTAACAGTCTGTTAACCAATATGCTAAAAGAAAATTAATTATTCAAAGCTTATTATAAAAAACTAAACTACATCTGTGTCTTATTTGTTGTATTGGCTTGCCTAAAATTGCTTATGCTTCTGAACCTAAATTTTATGACAATGCTTATAATTATTAATAATAAATTGTTAAAATTTTTTCCGTAATTTCATAACAAACGAGCTTACAAGTAGTTCTCACGAAATAGTATACTTTTTATGATTATTCTAAAGTAAAATAGGTCAATACTTTTTATTATTTACTATAAAAATTACGAATTACAATAATTTTTATATATGAAATAAAATTTGTACAAAGACTGTAAAAAACAAACAAACAAGCACAGCCTTAATTTAATTTTCATTCTCCTCTTTTATATT